CCACAGCAGCAGATCCCACCTGCTTGTGCAGAAGCCAAGGGATAGGCAACTGAGCGAGGCTGAGGACATGGAGATGGAAGGCTCATTTGAGCCAAGGCCCTAAACTGAGCCCCATGAAGGAGCCAGGCAGCTCCAGCGGAGGCAAAGAAAACCCCACCAAGGGTGCAGGAACACCGGCATAGACTTAAGAGAGTCCAAAATGAAACAAGACTGAATGCTAGAATATGAGACTCCCAGGATGGAAAGACCTCAAGCAGGTACTGTGGAAGAGCAAAGGACAAATACAAATAGCTCTGTTGCTAATTATGCCATTAGATTAAAGCTGAAACGACATCTAGGGACTGACATGCACAGGAGTGAAAGGACAGTCCAATTTGTATGACACACACAACTGGAACATGGGACAGCAGGAGTATGGATCAAGGTACACTGGGAATTGTAAAGCAAGACAAGGGACAAATACACACTGCGCTACTTGGGGCCGGTGACCTAAAGTGGACTCGAATGGGATCTTTTCGGTCCAACAGCTACAAAGTGTTCTGCTCTGGAAAAGACGAATTCAGGAGAAATGTAGTGGCTCTAACACTGAGGCAAGATGTAGCACAGGCAGTCAGGGACCATAATAAAAAGTCTGACTAAATAATATCTGTGGGAAACCTATCAACATAACTATTATTCAAGTCTATGCTTCAACTACATGCACTAAAGATGAAACTGAAACTTTTTATGCAAGTGTTTAGGAAGAAATTGATCACAGACCAAAACAAGACGTTGCGATATCATACCTAACTGGAACACAAAAATAGGGAATAAAGGAGAACCAAATGTTGCTAGAAAAATTGAGCTAGGAGATAAAAATGAAGCAGGACAATGACTCAGAGTTCTGCAAAGCCAATAATCTGTTTATCACAGATACATTCTTCAAGCAACCAAATATGTGGCTGAAATAGAGGTTACTTACCTGTAACTTTGGTTCTTCGAGTGGTCCTCTGTGAATTCACACTAATGGGTTAAGTCTGCGCTTGCGCAGAGGCCTTGGAATATTCTAGAGCTTAAAGTAACATTTTTGGCTCCTCCCCTCAGGACTTCATGGTCCGCCCGCTCTAACAGTTACCTCAGTTCCCCAAATTCCGCTGCTGCTCTAAAGGCGAGACAGCCGTGACGGAAAGGAGGGAGGACGGGCGGGCCGTGTGAATTCACAGAGGACCACTCAAAGAACCAAAGTTACAGGCAAGTAACCTTTCTTCTTCGTGGCCTCTGTGAAATCACACTAATGGGTGACTAGCAAGCTTACCTCTGAATGGTGGAGGGATGTGACATCACGGCATCACAGCAGACAGGACTGCACGGCCAAATTGTGCATTCTCCTTTGCCCGGAGAACGAGTCTGTAGTGGGATGCAAACGTGGATGGCGTAGACCACGTAGCGGCCTTGCAGACATTCTGAAGAGGGACACCTCGGAGAAATGCCGTGGAGGTTGCAACAGCTCTGGCAGAATGAGCTCTGACGGGAGATGGAAGAGGCTTTCTCACTAACTCATAGGCTAGACGTATGACCTGTACAATCCATCTCGATATAGTCTGCGGTGACACCTGCTGTCCTTTATGAGGCTGGTGATGGAAGACAAATAAACATTTGGAAGTTCTAAACGCTGAAGTTCTTTGAACACAGAGCCAGTGCTCTACGGTCATCGAGCAGATGAAGGGACTTCTCAACAGGAGAAGAAGGTTGAGGAAAGAACGTAGGCAAAACAATGGGTTGCCGAATGTGGAAATCGGTAGTGACCTTTGGTAGGAATGACACATCGGAATATAACACGACCTTGTCCTGGAAGAACTGTAGGAAGGGCGGGTCCACTCTTAGAGCAGATAATTCTGAGGCCCTTCGTGCTGAAGTTATCGCCACCAAAAATACCACTTTGAGTGTAAGTAAACGTTCAGGAACAGTTGCCAATGGTTCAAATGGCGGTCGGGTAAGGCAAATTTAGCACAGTATGTAAGGACCACTGCGGAATAGGATTGATTCGTGGGGGATGAAGATGTAGAACCCCTCGAAGGAAGCGCTTCACTTTAGTATGTCTAAAGAGCAGAGCACTCTCTGAGTCAGGAGGTTGATGTGCCACAATGGCAGACAAATAAACCTTAAGTGTAGAGTGTGAGAGGTTCATTTCAAACAAGTATGCAAGAAACTGCAGCACAGCATGAACCGAAGTGGGGGAAACCAGTAAATCACGAGGTGCAGCAAACTTTTGAAAGGCAGTCCATTTACTATTGTAAAGATTATCTGTAGATGTCTTGCGGCAGTGGGATAAGACGTGAATTACTGTGGGAGCATCCTTCAAGCCGTGAGATAGAGTGATTGCACATCGGGATGATATGTTGCCCCGTCGTTCTGAGTAAGAAGATGTGGAAGGTAAGGAAGTCTCATGTACGCCTTCACCCTTGTGATGAGCCTCGTGAACCACGGTTGACAGGGCCAGAAAGCTGCTATGAGAATGACATTCTCATTGTCGTGGCAAATTTTGACAGTCACTCTCAGTAACAGTGGAAATGGTGGAAACATGTAGAGCAAGTGATTGCTCCAAGACACCATTAGCGCATTGCCCTGTGAGCCCAGTCCTTGGCCGCCCCTGGACAGATAGGTTGGACACTTTGGGTTGAGGTGAGTGGCAAAGGCATCCACCACAGGAACGCCCCATTTTGTGCAGAGGACAAGGAACACTTCCCAATCGAGAGTCCACTCGTGCATCGTGACATCAGTCCTGCTGAGACGGTCCGCCAGGACATTCTTGTGAGTGGAGGTGTAAACTGCAGATGGAAAAATGTGATGCTCCAGGCACCATTCCCAGAACTGAATTGTCAGATACAGGAGGGAATGCGAGTGGGTGCCGCCCTGCTTGTTGATATAAGTGGCGGCCGTGGTATTGTCCATAACAATCTGAAGAGCAGTGCCTCTGATGACAGGAAGGAAAGCACAGCAAGCCTTGAAGATGGCAAGAAGTTCCAGATTGTTGATGTGTAGAGTCTGCTCCCTGGGAGACCATTGATCATGGACTTGCTGACCGTCGCAATGAGCACCCCAGCCTGTGATGCTGGCATCTGTGGTGATTCTGGTTTTGAGGATTATCGGAGCAGACAAGTGGCCCATGAAGACATTGGCTGGATTGGTCCACCATCTCAGTTGTTGGGAAAGCTCCTCTGTCACTTGAAGTCACTTCCTGGGCGAATCTACAAGAGGATCGAATAGCGAGAGGAGCCATACCTGTAGTGACTGAAGCTTCAGCCTGGTATGAGGGATGACAGATGTTGTGGATGCCATCAGGCCCAATAGCTTCTGGGCGGAATGCATGGAAACCCGGTGTAGGGGCTGAAATCGCTTGATGAGTGTAGCCATCTTGTCTGCTCTCTCTTGAGGCATGAAGGCTCTCGCGACCCGAGCATCGAGGACGGCTCCGATATGAGACACGACGGGATGGAGTAAGCACAGACTTTTTGTAGTTTACCTTCAACCCCAGAGTTCAAAGGAGGCGAAAAACGGTGACTGTGTGATGCTTTGCTTGATGTCGTGAGTGTGCTACAAGAAACTAATTGTCTATGTACAGGTATACAGCAATCCCCTTTGTTCGAAGGAAAGCCACCACCAGTGCCATACATTTCGTAAAGACTCTTGGCGCAGTGGAAAGTCCAAAAGGCAGAGCGGAGAATTCAAAGCATTTTGACCTCAGCAAGAAACGCAAGTATCGACGATG